GGCGCCGGCGACCACTTCCTCAAGGCCGGCGGCCTCAGCAGCTTTTCCTCTCAGATCGAGGTTCGTGCTTTTTTCTTGAAAGAATTGAAACCTTAGATCTGTGATTTAGCTGGTCTTCAACCTTACAATTTGGATTGTGATTAGAATTTAGGTCCAATTTGCTAATTTTGGATAATATATGATTGAGGGGTTTTGTTTTCTTGGTGAAGTTGTTCAAGCTAGATTTTGGTTGCATTGAAGTTGGAGAAGACTCCGTAATGCATTGATTTAAGGGGAAAGGAAAAGTTAGATGACTTTTTATTGTAGGATTCTTGTATTTAAATGGCTAGTTGAAATAATTTATCCTTTTTTTGGATGCTCAATTTTGTAGAATGCTGAATAAAGGAACATAAAAATATTAGCTTAAGTTGGGGGGATTAAACAATTTTTGTTTGTTCAACTTGGGCATTTTCGCTATTTAGTATTTACATTAGTCATTGATAAAATTGGACAAAATAACCAAACCCCCCTTAAACTGTTGGTGAATTCTCAACTTCATCCCTAAAGTATCAATTTCTCTTCCTCCCTTAAACTATCTGTATGGGCTCAATGCGGTCATTTTCTTAGTCTACGGTCAAAAATTTGACAAATCAAATGATGCGCCAGTGTCTTTTTTTGTGTGCATTTGTTGTATTTTCTGCAGTTCAGAAAATGATTTTCCAATTTGAAAAAGGCATAAAGGGTAAAAAGTTTTAGAAGAAGGTAGCTAGGATTTTTTTTTTTTTTGAAGAGAAGGGAAACCAATGAGAAAGGTGTCTTAAAAAGATGATGTCCCGCCATTGATTTGTTAAATATTTGACTGTGCTTGCAAAATGGTCATATTAGGCCCATAACCATAGTGTATGGAGGAAATAGGTAAATTGGTACTTTTAGGGGGGAGTTGAGAGTTCAATGTTCATCAATACTTTAAGTGGGAGTTGGTCATTCCGTGCTATAAAATTTGTCAACAAGACCTAGCTCAAGTTATAAGAAGTTTCAGATTCCACTTCCCCTTCTCGTAAGGCATTAAAGCCGTGCGCAATGGTAAATTGGTGAAATTGGATTATGGCAAGTTATTGATTCAAGTTCTGGATGCAGACTTCTTAAAAAAATCATTTCTGTCCAGAAGACATTTCATATATTTAATCTTGTATATTATAGTAGATAAATAGATACATTTGTTTGATGATCATGTGAAGGAGAAAGTATTGAAGGTTTCTCTAGTGATAGTGTGTAGTCTTAGGTGTTGCATTATTTGAAGCTGTCAATGTGGTTAGTAGAACATGCAGGATATTTGCTAGAACTTTCTTTTGTCTTAAACGTTTGGTTTTAAAAATATGGAGGCCACCATTTGTTGGCACGAGACGCTTGGTTCCAAAATATTTGTGATCCATGATTTAGTACTAATGTGGAACTGAGATATATATTTTTCTAATATTGGTTCGAAGAGTAAGATACTTTAGGAAAAGATCTGGCATTGAAAAAAAGGAAACTGATAGTTAAAAGTTCTAAATGTGTCTCTTCCCATCTTGCAATTGAATTCATGGCTCCTATGTTCAATTAGAAATAGGAATTAAGCTACAAAAGGAAACAGTTTAAGACCAGGCTAGGTCTCTTATTCAAGAAACCAATGAAGAAATAGCTTCTACTTTTATGCTCCATTTAGTTTGTGTAGTTGTTATACCTAATCAGTATTTTGGCTAGTTTCTGAAAGTGAGCATAAATTCTGTTATAAAAAAGTGCATCAGATGCCTTTATATAACCTTGCTGTATTCCTCATTAAACTTTTCCTACTATTAATCATGCTCATTTAATTGCATTTCCTAAGCTAAGTGCATCAACTCTGAACACCCAATCATGACAAAGGCGAGTAGATTTAATGGGGGTTTTGTCCCTTTTTTTATATATAAATTATGACACTTCATCCAGTCAATTTTAAAAGTATTTTAAAGTTACCAGGCTTATTTAGAAAAGTAATTAGGGCCTGCTTCCAACTTAGCCAAAATTTGATTTCCAGTTACAACCTTTTTTCACTTCTCCATTCCCTTCATTGTCAATAGCAATTTTGTTTATGTTAATATTTTTCCAGGTTAGATAAGGGAATAATCAATAGAGTTACTAATATGAATAAAGACTGACTTTTCTTCGGACAATAAAGTTGCTAAAAAAACTTTTTAAAGCTCACCAAAGATATCTTTCGTTTGTGATTAAAGTTCTTTTCCTAAGAGGGTGAGGGTTTTTCCACTGAGTTATTAGTATTGCCTCGCATAAGCGTTAAGATGCAAGTCAGTTGCTCTTTTAATTAATACCTTATCCTTGTGTTCTCCTATAGAACTTGAAATGTTGTGGCACTGACCAGTCATCTTATTTGATGAGTCATCAGATGTCGCGGTACAAAGTAATCTGATTTGGATTTCTGTTTTCTAAGAGTACATGCTCCAAGCATTTCTGGTATTTGTATTTTGCTATGTAATATTATTAGCACTTGCACTTAGCAAATGAGTTAAGTTCGACAATAATAATTGCTAACTTCTGTGTAATGTATTGACTATTTGCTTAAATTCTACAATGATGATTTCTAATTCTTCATAATGTATTGACTTAAATTCTACAACAATGTGCAACAGCTGTCATTGTCCGCTTCTAACTTGTGTGATCGAGATGTTTCCTCAAAGGTATGTTACATTCTCATCTTGAAACTTGCCTTGTCACCAAATTATTCTGCAGTCTATAATTGATAGTTTTTACCATTATTAAGTAAAGAGTTCTCGTGAATTATAGTATATATAAAAGTTTAAAACTTTTAGATATAAATTTTAACATTTAATAATTTTAAAGGTACGTTATTTATTTCATTAGTTTTAAGATTTTGAAAGATATCAAATAGCACTAATCTAAAGATGTTTGCTTGGAAAATAAAGAAAAAGAATATTATTGATACTGAGTAAGTCAGCAAAAAAAACATATATTGTTGTAGATAACAATTAAGATTTTTAGGCTTAATATATAGGCTAGAAGGATATTTATATTTACAAAATAATGTTTGTATATATTGAAATCTAATAAATAAAACATATCTTTTAATCAAATGGTTTATGATTCTCTATTTCCATGTTTAAAAGATTGAAAGCATTTTAGTACTCTTAAGTGGGTTATTATTATTATTTTTTGTAATTATGATTTTGAAAGAGGTTTGGAATACAACTATGCTTGCATAAAATATGCGTGTGTGTGTGTGGGTGGGTGTGTGAGTGAGGGAGGTCCACCTTTCTTCATTTTTGTTATTGCCCCTTGTTGATTCATTATTTAGTAGAATAGATACATGTAAGCAAAATGATGGCGTTTATATATGTAAAAGCCATACACATTTTTTTAGTGATTTTTCGTGGAATTGATAATGATGTATGGTGGGAGTTTCAACTGCTGCACATAGATTTAACATGTGATCTTAATATATCCAGCTTTCTTTGTAGAGCGACACCATGGCTGTTGTTTATGCAAGAAGAAAAGATGGAACACTCGAAGAGATTGGTCGTACTGAAGTAGTATTAAACTCATTGAATCCTCTATGGACTGCCAAATTTGTTGTTAATTACCGATTTGAGGTCATGCAGCCTATGGTGTAAGCACCAGTGATTTCTCAAATGAACTCTTTTGTTTAAATTGTTTATGCCATTTTTACCCTTGGAAGAAGCACGTTTTTCCTTTTAGTCTTTCAGTCAGTCGTGTCTGAACATATTCATTTTGTCACAGGTTCCAGGTCTATGATATTGGACCAGAGTTTCATAACACGCCGGTGGAGGTATTTCTATTATTTAGAGATTTTAATACTTGCAAGAATTTGCTTGAAGTTTGAATTACTTTTGCATTGAAAATTGCATTTTCAGTTTTTCAAATGAAACTGGCACATGCAATGACCTTCAAGTAACAAGATATGATATATTGGCTAATACGTATCAGAATTATATTAGTGCCTTTTTTTATTATTAAAAAAAGCATTGATGTATTTATGAAGGTAAATTTCACAAAACTGCCATGAAGTTTTGATTATTTTGCACAAAACTACCATAAACCTTTTGTAATGAGAGAAAACTAACATGAACTTTTCTTGCACTAAACTAACATGGTCGACAGCGGTCGGGTAGTTTTCACATGCTTCACAGTGACTAGTATACTTAAGAATGGGTAAGTGCAGAGCTTTATCTTGTCCTACCTTAAAAATGCCAGCTATGGTTATTTATCGAGTTCATTGGAGCTAACATATCTGAGACCATTAACTTTAGGGTGTGATGTACACAGCTTGTTTTCTATTGTCTTCATTGGATAGAGCAGACCTCTATGCTATATTACGGTCTAGAGCTGGCCTCATGAGATCTTGAGGTGACCCCTATTGGCGGAGCGAGGATTTTGTGTTAGTGGTGTTACCATATAATTTATCATGATCGTATTAGATTCTATATTGATAATTTTACAATTTTAGCGCTTTTAATGGTGTTCTATCCTAATTCCACTGGTGACCCAAGTAACAAATACAAGTAAAAAATTCATAAAAGCGTGTATAAAGTTCCTGAATCCAGTGAGTGTCTTGTGAGATCACTGGCCACTATGTGGCTATGTAACTGGTGACCCCTATCTCAATAGTGTTTGATGTGGTTATATGCTCGTAACACTTTCAGATGGTGGAGGCTGTACCATTTATAATGCCCCGAATGACAACTTTCAGGAGGTCATCCATCCGAGAGCAGCTCATGTTTGAGCAAAGTTAGCGACATCTCTGATTCATTCTGACACCACTATTCCTCCATAATAAATGCTAGATTTGGTTACTTTTGAGTGCGTTGAATTATAAATTGATAGATCCCAATCACTATGGGATGTGACAATATGAACTCATATGATAGTCAATCAAATAAATCTGAAGGAAATATGGAAGAGAAAAAAAAGTGAGAATGTTAATTTAGAATGTAGAAAGAGATAATTGAGAGAGCAAAAACCCTAACTTAATTGATTTATTCAGATACTATATATATATATATATATTATATATATATATATATATATATAGTCATACAAATAGGGGTATGGTTAACGGGTCACAGCTCATTAACCAAATACCCAATAGACTTAATCTAACACTCCCCCTCAAGCTGGAGCATAAATATCCATCATGCCCAGCTTGTCACATATAGTAGAAAACACTTTTGAAGAAGTAGCATTGGTAAGAATATCAGCAAGTTGTTGTGAGGACGGAGTGAATGTGAGAGATACTTTCTTCTCCCAAGCATCTCTGATAAAATTACAGTCAACTTCAATATGTTTTGTCCTTTCATGAAACACATGATTCTGTGCAATATAAATGACAGACTGGTTGTCACAATGCATTGACATGGGTCCAGACTGAACAAAACCAAGATCTGGCATAAACTTTCTTAGCCACACCATCTCACAAGCAGTGTGAGTCATTGCTCTATATTCGGTCTCTGCACTAGATCGTGATACTACATCTTGTTTCTTACTTCTCCAAGTCACAAGATTACCTCCAACAAAAGTACAAAATCCTGAGGTTGACTTTCGGTCTCCCATGTCTCCTGCGTAGCCAGCATCAGAGAAAGCTAAAATGTGAGTATGCTCATGCTTCTTATATAACAATCCCTTGCCAGGACAACTTTTAACATATGCCAAAATCTTCAGAGCTGCTGTCCAATGAACCTCTCTAGGTTTGTGCATAAACCTGCTCAGTACACCTACTACAAAAGTAATATCAGGTCTGGTAACTGTCAAATATATTAGCTTCCCAATTAGTCTCCTACTATGTTGCCTAGGTACGGGTACGGGTGCGGGTGCGGGTATGGGTACGGGTACGGGACACGGCAAATTTGTAAAAAGTAGGGTACGGGGACACGGCTATATATATATATAAAATAATTAACTTTAGATCAATATTCCAAAAGTTAAAACTATATTCCTTGCATAGGAAATAGAGTAGAAAGCTATTTTTGCTTTAATTAAAAATTTAGAACTAATATTATTACCTAGAGCTAAGTTGCATGAAAACTGGTACTGGTACGGGTACCACCGTACGGGTAGGGGACACGACAAAACTGTAAAATGTTGGGTACGGGTTCAAACTACATATATATATTGAATTAATAATGTACATGAGATAATTTTTTTCTACTTCATGTGTCATTAGAATTAAAATTTCGATCACATTTTTGGGTTTATTTTATCATATTGACTATCGTGAATTGTAAACTACTCATTTTTTACTAGACATCTAAACAACTCATTAACTATATAGTTTTGAACTTGGGTATGGACTGAAACGAACCCGACCCGTATCCCATTAGTTTCAAAAGACGGATGTAAAGTGTAAGCTCTACGTCCAGAAAGTCTTTGACAAGTGTTTTAAATTAACACATATATCGTATAATTGAGTACATGTTGTAATAAATGCATGCATATATTCAAGAAGTGTCCATGAAGTTTGGGTACGGGAAAGTGTCGGGTACGTGTCCGGTACGGGTACGGCTTCAATAATGAAGTACCCGTGTAACATAGGTCTCCTATATCGTGCATCATCATCTAGTAGAGAGGTATCAAGGTTTTAAATATCGGATATCGGGGAAATATCGGATGGCCAAAATTCATATCGGATTGCGGATATCGGGGAAATATCGGGGATATGTGGTAAATATCGGAATGCCAAAATGAATATTTGCATCCATAGTATAATGCATTAAAATGTAATCTCAACATATGTAATAAAATTTAAGCATACAAAATATGAATAATATATGTTTAGGATCACTAATCAACCTTTTAAAACAAACAAAAGTGCAAAGCAACGTTGCAACATTCGATCTGCATTTTTTAGGGCAAAATGTCATTTGATATAATGGGGAAATCTTGATATCTCGCCCAAAAATTCCAAACACGGTATATTATTTTGCAACAAGCTATATAAAAAGATATATTGGTCCACATATCGGTTAATATATCGGCCATATCGGGGATTTATCACTCAAAATAGCCAAAAAACGGTAAAGGATATTTAAAGACCATATCGGTTGCGGCAAACCCTGTAAAAGGATATATCGGGGGATATATCGGGCCATGTCGGGGATATTTAAAACAATGGGTATCATCACGCCACAAATCAACATTTGCCTCCATTGGAGTGCTTGCAGGTTTGCATTCCAAGAGACCTGCTTCTTCTAGTAAATCTAGCACATACTTTCTTTGGGACAACAACATGTCATGTTTTTTATATGCAATTTCAATCCCAAAAAAATACTTTGGCTTTCCCATATCCCTAGTGACAAAATGACGGTTTAGATACTCCTTAGTCTTAGCTAAGACAACAGAGTCACTCCCAGTCAGCAGAATATCATCAACATATACGGCTAAAATAACCAAACCAGTTGTTGTGCGTCGAAGAAAGACAGAGTGATCAGACTGACAACGTTGAAAACCAACATTAGAAATAACATTGCTGAACTTATCAAACCAAGCTCGAGGACTCTGCTTTAACCCATAGATGGCCTTTCTCAGCCTGCAGATAAGATTCTTCCCCTGAGCAACATACCCAGGAGGTTGCTCCATATAAACCTCCTCATCCAAATCACCATAAAGGAAAGCATTCTTCACATCTAGTTGGTGCATCGTCCAATCTATATTAACAGCCAGAGAGAAAAGAATTCTGATGGAGTTGAGACGAGCAACGAGAGAAAAGGTTTCAAAATAGTCAATACCATATGTCTGGGTATATCCTTTAGCAACTATGTGAGCTTTATATCTATCAACAGACCCATCAGGACGATATTTTAAGGTATACACTCATCTGTAGCCAACCACAGTCGCTCCAGCAGGTAGAGAGACTAAATCCCAAGTCCCTCTAGAAAGCAGTGCATTCATCTCCTCATCCATAGCCTGTTTCCAAGCGGGTACTAACAAAGCTTCCTCATGTGACCTGGGTAAAGATATAGTGGACAATGACAAAGCAAACTGACGAAATGATGAGGTGAGACGGTCATAAGAGACAAAAAGAGAGATAGGATATTTTGGGCAAGACCGTTTACCTTTACGAAGAGCAATAGGAACATCTAAGTCAGAAGAGATATGAGGCTCGACATGAGATGGACCTACAGTTGGAGAAGAGTCAGCAGGAGCAGAGATAGGTATATGTACTTTAGGACGGCGAGAGTATGTCAGTAGAGGCTTTGGTGCAGTAGCCACAGGAGCAGATATCGGAATAGTAGTGGGAGCCGTAGAAGGTAGTGGCACCTGTGGACTGACAGAGGTAGTGGAACCAGAGGAAAAATATGGGACAGACTCAAAAAAGGTAACATCAGCAGAAACAAAATATCTCCTGATGGTCGGATGATAGCACCTATACCCTTTTTGAGTACGTGAGTATCCAACAAACACACACTTAATGGACCTAGGAGACAATTTATCCAAACCAGCAGTCAAATCCTGAACAAAACACGTACAACAAAAAACTCGAGGAATCACAGAAAAACGTTTTTTAGCAGGATAAAGACAGTGGAATGGTATCAAACCATCAAGAACAGAGGAAGTCATGCGATTAATCAAATAACAAGCAGTGAGGACAACATCCGACCACAAGTACTTTGGAATATTCATATGTATCATCAGTGTTCTAGCAACATCGAGAATATGTCTATGCTTCCTCTCAGCAACTCCATTTTGTTGTGAAGTGTGAGAGCATGAAGTTTGATGAATAATACCATTAAGAGCACAAAATTTTGAAACGTCATTTTTTATATATTCCAAAGCATTATCAGTACGAAGAATATGAACAGAAGTAGAGAACTGGGTTTTTATTTCATTATAAAAAAGTTCAATAATATGCGAGACTTCAGACCTCTCTTTCAACAAATATAGCCAAGTCATGCGAGAAAAATCATCAACAAAAACAATGAAATATCGAAAACCCTTCACAGAGGGAACACGACAAGGACCCCAGACATCAGAATGAGCTAACTCAAATGCAAAACTACTGCGTTTATCAACACGACTCTGAAAAGAAGCACGATGGTGCTTACCCAGTTCACATGACTCACAATCTAAAGAAGAAAGGGAAGACTGAACAGTAACTACCGATCTAAGTTTCTGTAGTGAAGGATGACCCAGACGCCAGTGCCACAGTAAGGTAGAATCAGGCTGTGCTGCAACAAGACCAGCACCCGACACACTATCGTCCAAATAGTACATACCTCCTCTCTCATGTCCCGAACCAATCGTCATCCCAGTTGCTAGGTCCTGAAAAATACAATAAGAAGGAAAGAATGTGACTTTACAGTTATTATGCTTGTAAACTTGCTAATGGATAATAAGCTAACAGGGAATTTAGGAGCATATAACACATCAGTGAGTTTCAAAGAGGAAGTAACATGAACTACTCCAGCACCAAGAACTGGAGAAAGTGTACCATCAGCGATGCGAATAGAGGGAAACTTATCAGAAAGATGTAAAGAGACAAAACGATCCTTTATACCTGTCATATGGGATGAGGCTCCAGAATCTAGTACCCATGGTTCATGAGGAGAAGCTATGTAAGCATCCATACCTGAAGAGGATGCATGAGTAGCCGAATGACTGTTCTGAGAGAGCTCTTACTGGCGTAACCTCTCATAATCTGTCTGAGAAATCTGAACAGTAGGAACAGTAGTAGCTGAATTATTAGAAATAGTAGTAGAAATAGGTGAGCGAGTCGACTCGACATCGGCTACTTGGGCCCATTAAGGACGACCAAACTTCTCCCAGCACTTCTCAGAAATATGATTGGTCCTCCCACAGTGACCACACTGACGTGAACCCCTATCAGAATCACCCTGTCTCCCACTAAAAGAGTCACGTCCTCCCAAAGAATCACGACCATGATCACGACCGCGGTCTCTGCCTCTACTAGAGAACATGGCAGACTGATCCACTGAAGGTGGAGACGGTGCAGAAATATCAAAAAAAAAAACACCAGTAAAGACCTGCATGACTCTGGAGAATGTAGCAGTCAGTGAGGGGATGGTATCTCCACCCAATATCTGTCCTCTCACCTGAGACTGCAAGTTAGGGTGCAATCCAGAAAGAAACTTGGACACTGCCAAGTCACGGCGATATCCTATCCCAACAGCGTCGCTGCATCAGCTACTGCAGGCTGATGATGCATCTGTTCGTCTATCAGTCCCTTTAACTCACCAAAGAACTCCGGAACTGACCTATCTCCCTGTTTGAGCGTAAAAAATCGCTCATAAATCTCAAATACACGAGAAGCATTCTTCTCATTTCCGTACATAATCTTCAGGCTGTCCCACATCTCCTTCGCAGTGGTTAAGAACATAACACTGCTACTAATCTGTGGTTCCGTGCTGTTGAGGAGCCACGTCATAACACAATAATCAGACGAGAGCCAGGAACTGTAGGTGGGATCTGTGGTGGGTGGAGGAGATGTCAGAAGATGTGGAAGTTTGCTCTGAGCGCCAATGAAGATGCGGAAAGCCTGAGCCCAGAGCAGATAGTTTGTACCATTCAATTTTATTGTAGCCCCCAAGATTACCTTGGGCGCAGAAGTCTGACCAGCAGCAGCAGAGGGAGATGTAGAAGAGGAGAGATCTGTTTCCGACATTGTTGCACAATAGTGGTAGGCAGGTAGTAATCAAATAATCAAGGCAGCAGTAGAGATCTGTTCTTTAAACATAGACTAAGAGCAGATCAAAAAATAGACAGTAGTAGATGACCGGATCGAGTCATGTGTGGCCTCGAATCACCTATTCAAGGCCATGGAAAAGAAAAAAAAGGGACAAAACAAACGGTGTGGTACTGTAGCAGCACGGTACTGTAGCGGCGCGGCTAGTGGTGACGGTAGTGCCGGCGGCAAGGAGAAGAGGCGGCGGCGGCTAGGGTTTTTGAATGAGGATTTGTGACGGCTAGGGTTTCAAGCTCTGATACCATGTAGAAAGAGATAATTAAGAGAGCAAAAACCCTAACTTAATTGATTTATTCAGATACTAGAGAGATATATATAATCATACAAATAGGGGTATGGTTAACGGGTCACAGCCCATTAACCCAATACCCAATAGACTTAATCTAATATAGAACAAGCAAAATTCATGGTTTGAAGGTACCGAATAATCAGTGAAGGGAATAATGGATATGAGTTACTGTCTTATTTAAAAAAGTGGGCTACCAAGGGAGTACAGGGATGAGATCCACCTTCTCTGCTGTGATTAGCAGGATATACCTCATTACTAGTCTAATAAATAGAACCATTTGAATGAATGCAAGAATTTGAATGAATGCAAGAAGATTCCTAATGCCAGCCCCAGAGAGGTTTTTAAGGAAAACGACTTACAGATTGGTCTTGACATATGCTATCTTTTTATGGTACAACATAGATGCAGAACAACAAGGTGGAGATATATTGGGAGGTCTTATTGGGACAAAATTAAACGAAAATACAAATATTATAGAACTTGCACTCTCCAATTAAGAAAATAATGATACAAATGTTAGGGCTTCACATCCGGGCACTTCACATGCTAATTATTTACATGCCTAATACTAGCTGCAATTCACATGCATGATTTTTCACAAACATTCTTCTCTCTTCCTCTCAAATGAAAAACATAGTCTTATTTATAGAAAAAAAATTAGGAAGACAATAAATATCCTAAGAGATAACATCAAATAACATCCTAGCTAAAAAAGAGATACCATCAGATACGATCCTAACCAAATGAAATGATGATAACTAATTTATCTAATCCTAATTGAACTATATCAGATCCAATTTCCATTAAATCTGAATCTATCCTGCATCAAATATAGATGGTGATGGTTGAGGTAGCTTCCGTGATTTACTTAATGAAATTAAAAGGTTGAGCTGTATTCTGTAAGTTTTCTAGTGAATAAGCATGTGAGAGGCAACGCTCTAGCTCCAACAAAAAAATACGTAGCCCATATAGAAGCAACAACAGTCATTTATGACTGGCTTAATTAACAATGAATGGCTTTTGAGGTTATGTTTTATGCAAGTAGTAACTTTGTGGTTCTAGATTCTTTCAATAGTTAGGAGAGAATCAATACCATGTTTGTCATAGAATGGCTTATTCATCTTCTCTTTGTGCAGATGCTTAAGTTCGATGAGCAGCAATTTCTTGGACAAGCTAGCTGTCTCCTATCTGAGGTATTTCTATGTAAGAAATATGGATACTCCCCCAGAATGTTCCTTGTTATAAAACCTGCTTGGATTTCTTAGAGGCTCACAAATAGCATACTTTGCTTTGTCCTTCAAGAGGTTCCGTACTAGCATATTCCATCCTCTGCAGAGACAATTCTGAACTATTAAGATGTGTCTAAGTTATATTTTCAGAAGCTTTTTTTTTTGCCTTTAGATTCTTGTATGCAGATGATCTGAAGTAAGTTCTATTTGATTTCAGAATAAGAAACTTCTTAAAAAGATAAACATTAGAAAGTAGAACAACGTGTGTGTGTGTCTATATATATATATATATATATATATATATATATATAGAGAGAGAGAGAGAGAGAGAGAGAGAGAGAGAGNTATATGATAACACTTTTATTGTTCTGCACCTGCTATTTTTAATGATGAACAATCCCAATGGGTAATTGAGACCATTCATCTTGATCCAAACACCATATAAATGTATGTGGGCCAAAAGTTATGTGGTTTATAGATTTCTAACCTACTAATTGAATGGCTACAAAACAAACAACATATTATGGAACTAGCTCTCAGGATAATGTTTGTGAGAACTCCATGACGATTCATCTCATGGATCTCAACTAGAGGCCTGTGCAAGCATTCCTTTTCTTAATCCTCGACGTTTTTCTATTGTGCTCATTTGTAGATAGTCACCAAGTCTACTAGATCATTGTTTACCCTAAAGCTTGACCATGGAGAGCACAGGTCAACTCAACCCGAGAAATTAGGGGAGCTTACTGTTCATGCTGAGGAGTGTGCTAACTCTAAAGTCGCATTTGAGATGATATTCCGATGCGTGGATCTGGAAAACAAGGATTTCTTCTCAAGAAGTGTAAGTAGTTTCTCTTACACTCGAAATAGGTTTATGTATCCTTCTAGTTCATGAGTCTTGTATTAATCTTTAGTTTTCTTTTTTTCATGTGAAAAACTTACAGGATTCCTTCTTGGTGATATCAAAATTAACTGAGTCTGGTATGTGCATTCCAATTTGCAAGACAGAAGTGAGAAAGAATGATCATAATCCAATTTGGAAGCCCATAGTTGTGAATCTTCAACAAGTTGGATCTAAGGCACGGATTCTTGATTGAGTAGCAGCTATCAGATTTAAAGTGACCCTTGTTTTCTTCTAATGCTACTTGTTTTGTTATGCAGGAAAACCCTTTAAGTATTGATTGCTATAATTTCAGTAACATTGGCAAGCATGACTTAGTAGGGTAAGGGCTGTATCCTTGTGTACTTCAAATTTTTTTCCTTTTAACATTTCTTCTTCTTCTTCTTCTTCTTCTATGTTTCTCTCTGTTTTTCCTGTCTATGCATGTGGGTTATTGTTATATATAACTGCACCTCTTTTCTTTTTCTGTCACTATTTACCAGCAAAGCTGTGAAATCACTTGCACAGATAGAACAGCTGCATCACACTCAAAGTGGCGAGCATTTGTTTTTGCTTACTGCTGCTGGACATGAGCAGCACCATAAGGTAGGAGTTGATTAATTTATTTTAGCGTCTCTTTCATCATGAGAAATGACTTTTAGATCCCTTTGAATGCAGATTTTGAAAGGTCAACTACATGTGGAAAAATTTTCTCAATGCAAGAGTCCAACATTCTTGGATTACATTGTTGGAGGAATTGAGCTGAACTTTATGGTTGCCATAGACTTCACTGGTATGCATATATTTCTTGTTTCCTGCTACTATTAATCACCATTAATTTGACAGTTCTGGTTTACCAGCATCAAATGGAAATCCACGACTTCAGGATTCCTTGCACTATATTGACCCCTCAGGTCGGCCGAATGCATACCAGAGAGTGAGCTACTGATTCATATTAACACTTCTAGGGTTTCACTCTTATCAATCTCCCAGTGACATATATTTTGGATTTAATAATATTTTTAGGCGGTAATAGAAGTTGGAGAAGTTTTGCAGCTCTACGACTCCAGTAAGCGCTTCCCTGCTTGGGGCTTTGGAGCAAGGCCAATTGATGGTCCTGTGTCTCATTGCTTTAATTTAAGTGGAAGCACCCACCACTGTGAGGTGATGCTTATCTGATATTGTCCATTTCAGTTCTTGTGTTTGAAATTATTTTAGGTTTTTCGAAGAATATATATGAAAGTTATAAACATTTCTGTTTTTTAATCTTTTATCTACCACAAAATGTTTGTTATCTCTTAACTTAAAAAAGGCCAAAAATGCTTTCAAGTCAGTCCCAACTCATCCCAAATTAATCTTTGAAGCATTTTTTGTTGTGGGTTCTAATTAGAACTGAAGTATACTCATCATTATTGATCTCGGTCCTTTTCCCTCATCAAGAATGCTCTAGAATGGGGCACAAGTTACAAATTGATAAAGCCCATAAAGAGAAAAGAAACTATAGCTTCTACCACAAGTCATCACTTTGTGGTTTGTTGTCATCACTTTCTAATTAGTGTCGTGCCAAAGAACTCATTGGCAAGAGAATTTCTTTCAAGCCATAAAATATGGACGCTTTGGCAGGTATGAAGACCTAGGTTTTTTATTGAGGTAGTTTTTGCTTATGCTCTCAAAGGACAGACTCTTCTTCGAATTACAAGGTCTACAGGAACATTTAAGAAGATAAGGTTTTCTGTATGGAATAGAACTCATTTCAATGGCATAATGTTAGCTGAAACACTGTAGTTATCTGGCATTTCTCCATTTTAGTGAGAAGAGAGTTTGGGAAAAAAAGTACAAAGAAATAAATTCTTTAAGAAAATAATAATCTACAATATACTGGTTAATTACACGGAAGTACTTTCAGAGCTTATTATCAATAAAAATGATGAAGAACTAGCAACTGTTATTAGTGGATAAAGAAGATGTAGTATTGCTTCTACATAAAATAAAAAGTTGCTATGAGACTAAGTACAGATAGCATTACCTTATCATGATGTGATGCTCGTTTGCTTGGACATTTCTGTTCAGTCTACAAAGCCTTTAGGAGTGTGGTGAGTGCTGTTATTTTTTTTGGTTGAAATACATGTGCAAAATATCCGTTGTTTAAATGTGAGGTCTGTAGCTCAGATATGGCCAGTAGGGCTACTCATTTAAATCCTGACATGATTTATGCTATCAGGTTGAAGGGATTCATGGAATAATGTCAGCTTATATGGGTGCCCTCCGGAATGTTTCATTGGCAGGTCCTACACTGTTCGGTCCAGTAATTACTACTGCTTCACAGATTGCCAGCCAATCCCTTTCCCACAATCAACAAAAATACTATGTTCTGCTCATAGTCACGGTAATGAGGGATCTTAATACTGCAAATAGATCCATGCATCCACACTTATATCATATAGACATACATACATATACATCTATGTATATATCTGTACGCACACATACACTGCCTGCCTTACCGTGTCTGTCTTACATAATTTTTTTTATTCAGGATGGAGTTATAACAGATCTCCAAGAAACAAAAGATGCACTAGTAAATGCTTCCGATCTACCTCTATCAATCCTCATTGTTGGTGTTGGTGGTGCTGACTTCAAAGAGATGGAGGTGTGTTAGTGCATAGTTTTCCTTTGTTTCTCTGTTTTTGCTTTTCTCCTTTGATGGAAATTTGTATGTTTTAACAGTGGTTCCTTCGAAAGAATTGAATACACAAATCTTCCCTGCTCTGAAGATCAAACCCACATATTTAGTAACATGAGTAGAGAGATCTCCATGACAAATCACCACCCCATTACAGAGAACAGTTAATCCTGTAATTTTCCTCTCCTTTTGTAAGAATACTTACTGATTTTCAAGTGTTACCTGATGCAGGTATTAGATGCAGATAAAGGGGAGAGACTTGAGAACTCAACTGGTCGGGTACCAACAAGGAATGTAGTGCAGTTTGCTCCTTTGCAAGATGTGCAAAGTATGTATAATTTTTATGCTTAAGTTAATCTTACCTTTCTTTCTCTTGGACATCCCTCACTTGCAGTTTTAACTTGTAGGTCATTCCATTTCATTCTTTTATTTTGGTGATACATCTAGTTTGATATTTTAGGATGACATGGACCTAATATTTAATGCCTCTATCATCTGACAACCAACATGTCTTGACAGCTTCTGGTCATTTAGATACCTCTTCTTACCTAAAATTGCAAAAGTGATAACAAATAGAAAAATCTTCAAGGAACAAAAAATAAAATAAAATAAAATAAAATAAAATAAAATAAAATAAAATCTAAATTTACCATTTCACATGCTCAACCAATTCATTCTGTGAGGCTTTAGCAGCTAAATTATTAAGTTGGCACAAAATTGATCTTGTATGATGTTTTTGATAGACATTGTTTATGAATTTTATGCATGTTTCGTCTTCATTGATTTGAGAATTAATTATAATGGATGGTTGGAAGTCTAAATACGGTAAGCTCCACTAGTCGCGTTCTTCAGGCGGGGCAGTAGGAAGCCTTCTGTTCCTTTTGGGAATCTTTTATGGTTCAAATAAACACGTGAAGCTAATTTGAACTGGCCTTAATGGCAGCCCGGTTTCACTTGTTATACGGTTTGAATCTGTTCCAAACCTCCAATTTGGCCGAGAACTGAAGTCCAATCATATTGGCTGAGTTTAGGAGTTGGGTGTTGGTTAGGGATTGGCATGGATCCATATTACCTGACAACCCAATCCCAAAAATTCGCCAAAATTTTGTTATGGATTAGTGAACCAAATCTGGTTCATGGATCTAGATGTCTCAAGGGATCACATACTGATAATCTAAATCCTGATGTATGCAGATATGTTTATTTCACTTCACCAAAATTAAACCGTCCCCTTCAGAAACAAATATATTATGGCTGTTTTTTCTTTGAATTTTCTGTAGATACGTCCATATTGAAGGAAAGACTAAAAAAGCTAAGAATTGCCAAAATTGAATTAGGATAATCTGAAAGAAATCTGATAATTGAAGGGCTTTGTGTTGGGAACTTGGGTGGATCCTGGTCTTCCTCTTAGCAGGCTTGTTTCATGGTACCTGTTCCGGAAATTTATAGTCAAAGACAAGTGGAACTTGTAGGTTCTAATGTAAATTTAACCATTGCTTTCCTGGTATTTCTTTGCTTGACCAGGCAAAGGAGAGTTCTTAATATTCTACTAATGTATGGATCTTTATCGTTAACGACTGACTAGTATTGTGTTGCATGTGATACTAATGCATCCATTGCATTGCTCGCAATGCACAAAAAATACAGAACGTGGTTGAGTGGTGTAGTCAAATTATCAAGGAGACAGATGGTTCGTTACGTTTTTTTTCTAAGCGCGAGGACATTTCTGTTTGTTTCCCAAGTGAGGGCATTTCTGTTGAGTTTTCCAAGTGTGAGGGCATTTCCATTGATTTTTCGAAGTGTGAGGGTATTTGCGTTGATTTTTGCAAGTGTGAGGGCATTTCCTTTGATTTTTCGTGTGTGAGCATTTTTTAGTGTTTTCTAAAAATGTGACTCACACTAGGAGAACACCTGGCTGGCCGGGAATTTTTTTTGGGGGTGGGGGGCGGGGGGGGGGGGGGGCA